TGGACGATCTAAATAAATACTAGGGTTCTGTGAAATTTTGACGAGTGTTTCATTTTGAAGCTGTTTCGACACATTTTGAGCTCGAAACAGTGAAATTGAAATGAAACAAAAGGCTTTGAAATGAAATGAGGGCACTCAAAATGCTTCAAAAGTTTCAAAAAGTTTCAAGTTTTGAAGCTGGGCTTGCTGCACCTAAACAGAAACTAAGGAGATGGAGGGTGAAGAGTGGGGAAGGACTGCTCTGATACTGACATCTAGCTCCCTGTTCAATTCCCCAACTCTCTGATCACTTCCCCAGCTCTCTGATCATTCCCCCAGCTATTCCCAGGGGGTGCCAGCCTCCGATCTGCACATGGGGTTTCAGGAGGCTTCTGCTGAAACTGCAACGGCAGCCTGCTGAAACCCAGTGTGCAGATCCAGGGGCCTGCACCCCCAGGGAAGACCTCAGGGGAGTGATCAGAGAGCTGGAGAATTGAACCAGGAGCTGGGGGAATGTTCAGGTCCCTGAACATTCTGGTTGGATTCCCCAGCTCTCCAGTCTTTCCCCCAGTTCTCTGATCAGCTTCCCCCAGCCCTTCCTGGGGGGACACCAGTGCCACCTACAATGGGAGGGCTGTGGGATGGGGGGCTGTGCTGGGGTCTTCCTTATGGAGCTCAGCCTGACAGTGGGAGCGTCAGTGGCAGAGCTGCTTAGAGCTCAGCCCTGGCTCTGAGCACAGCCCTGGCCAGTGGCTCTTCCCCGCCTCCCACTGCCTCCTGGTGCCAGGCTCAGCTCTGTGGGGCTGGCAGAGTGACTCAGAGAGCAGCCCAGTGGTGGGAGGTGGGGGAGAGCCAGAGCTGTGTTCTGAGCATCTCTGCCAGCCCCATGGAGCTGAACCTGGTGGCAGGAGGCGGTGGAAGACCTAGTGGTGGAGCCAGTCTGAGTGCAGCCCTGGCAAGCACAGCCTGGCAGTGGGAGGTTATGCAGCCCCATGGAGCTGAGCCTGGTTGTGGGAGGCAGCAGAGAGCCAGTGGTGGAGCTGCTCTGAGTGCAGCCCTAGCTCTGAGTGCAGCCCTGGCCAGTAGCTCTCTGCTGCCTCCTGCCGCTAGGCTCAGCTCCATGGGGCTGCAAAGCCTCCCACTGCTGGGCTGTGCTCACCAGGGCTGTGCTCCAAGCGGCTCTGCCACTGGCTCTCCCACTGCCTCCCACTGCCATGCTGAGCTCCATGGAGCTGGTGGAGCCACTTGGAGCACAGCTCTGGCGAGCACAGCCCGGTGGCTGGAGGTTCTGCAGCTCCACAGAGCTGAGCCTGGTGGTGGGAGGTGGTGGAGAGCCAGTGGCAGAGCCACTCGGAGTGCAGCCCTAACTTCAAGCGCAGTCCTGGTCAGTGGCTCTCACTGCCTCCTGCTTTCAGGCTGTTCTGTGGGGCTGTGTGGAACCTCTAGTGGGCGGTGTGAGTAACATACCATCTCCCTTTACCGGAGCACCCCTCAACTTTCCTGCCATGACTTGTTGTTATTAAGTTAAAGGAGGGGGTTCAGTGGTGTTCCTCTTCTTGGGTGACCCGGTGACGGAGGTACTCACATTTGCACCACGGTGTTCCTCAGGGCTCCGCCTCCCCTACACCCCATCCACTTGCCAACTGCTTGGGCATTGGTATCATTGTTTCTGCCATTCCCTGTGAACCCCTTTTACTGTGGGGTTCAGCTTCAGTACTGGTCAGTTGCCAGGATGTCAAGGCATCTGGAGCCCCGGACCCTGATGCCATAGGGCTGGGCTCCCAGAGAGAGAGGTGCTCTTATGAATTCTTGAATTCAGGTCGGTGAGGACCGATCGTCCCCCTGCCTAATGCAGAGACACTGCTCTCCCTGCTCCAGGTGCAGGCACAGCGCCTGTGGCAACACTCCTGCCAGCCACTGGAGTCTCTGCCTGCCCGGTGTGCTGCCTGCTGGCTTTCTCCTTCTCTCTACCATGCCTGCCGGCTTCCAGCAGGGTTTTTGAACTTCCTGCAGTGGCTGCCCAAGCTGCCACAATTAGCCCTGGGTTTCCCCGCCTTGGGAACAGCTGTTTAAAGAGCCGGCATAATGCTGGCTCGTGTGGCCGTGGCTCCGGTTCTGGCTCTGGCCATGCTAAGAAAAGCAAGTTCCCTGGGGTCTAGGGGGTCTTTGTGTTCCCTACAGGGGCTCTTGGGGTTTTCCCCAGCCCCCTTGATGCTTGTGGGGGCTTCTTGCAACCACAGGCTGGCAGAGTCACTTGCAAGTCACAGGCTTGGCACAGCCTGGTGGCGGGAGGTGGGGAGAGCCAGGGCTGTGCTCCGAGTGGCTCTGCCAGCTCCATGGAGCTGAACCTGCCCTCCTAGCACTGCCACCGAGTGCTGGGAAGGGCCCAGTGCTGCCCCTGCTGCAGCCCCAGGAGGGATGCATCGTGCCCCGAACCCCCTGGTGCGGTGCAGCCCAGCAGCTACAGGCAGGCGGCATCTGCCATTCCTGGGGCTGCTGCAGGGGTGGCACTGGGCTCTCCCCAGCGCTCAGGGCAGGCCACAGTGGTGGAAGGGGGGCTGCTGCCACCCCAAAATTTGCTGTAGCCCCCCCCCATCTACACTCCCAGCACCACCACTGAGCACGGGCCTTCTGGGGGCACAGGCCCCCAGATCTGCATGTGGAATGACAGGAGGCTGCCACTACTGCCTGGGGCCAGTGGCAGCAGCAGTCTTCCCAGCACTGGACAAGGGCTGCACACAGTGCTGATCCCAGGCGGCAGTGGCAGCCTCATGTCATCCCACGTGCAGATCCAGGGGCCTGCATCCCTGGGAGGAGTCCGGCACAGCCCCACAGCCCTCTTGGGGGTGTGGGCCCCCAGATCTGCACACCGGATGACAGCAGGCTGCCACTGCCAGCAAGCAATATGAGTTTTGATTTCAACTGTTTGAGGTATAGTTTCACAAAAATCCCTGCACCTATCTCCTTGAAACTTGGCAGCTTTCATGCCCTCAGAAGGCACTACCATCTCTGCAATTTTCATCTGAATCAGGCAAGAAATGACAAAGTTATTGGCATTTTCATGATTCCCCAGTATAACCTATGGGCTAGACATTGAAACACGTTGAAACAGCGAAAGAGTTTCGATGAAACAAAATGGAACAGTGCTTCAAAATGAAACAAAATGACAAAACAAAACACTGTCCCTTCAAAATGGTGAAACAGAAGTCAAAACGAAGTGGATCTGTAAATGTGAGGGGCTCTGACTGTCTCCCGTTTCTTTCTTCTGAATTTTTCATTTTCTTCCAAAAATATAAAACATTCCCTGGAAGTCAGGACAGTGACCAGATTCTTGGTAGAGTTTGCTGATTGCAATGTTTGAGTCTTTTCATCCTGGAATCCACCTGTCCTTTGACTTTCCTTGTCTGAATAGGACCACCATTGACCCTTTCCTTGGCTTCTTTGACACAATTTTTGGGAACAGGTTTTATATCTGTTACTCAGGAAATGAGACCCCACAGCCCAGGTGTGAAACTTCCACAATCAGTTCTGACCTCCCACCATAGCTTAAGCACAACTTTTCCTAGAGTTTTCAATCTTGTAAGTGCTCTGTGTCTCTAGCTTACCTCTTCAGGGACATGTGACAGATGTAGCCAAGAGACCTGTAAGGGTTCCAGAAATCAATGACTGTTTAACTAACATAAGAAATAAGCATATCTAAACAAAATAATAAAATACCTGCCTTTCTTTACCACCCTTGGGTGTTCTTTGAGCTTAAGTCAGAGTCCCATAGGGAGCCCTTCTTCCAATGGCTTCTTCAAATTATGGAATTATTTTCTCTGTAACCAGTTTTCATCTTTGTCCACTGCTCTCACGGGTAAACAGGGCCCATTGGGTATTAAATAGGGCAACCATATGGGAGAGTGGGAAATCCAGGACACTTCACCTGCCTTCTGCCCCCAAAGTCAGCAGTGCTGCTTCAGGTAGAGGTGGGGGTGGGGGTGGGGCAGCATGGTACACTGGCAGCTGTGTCTGCCTGCCTACCTGCCTGGCACTCCATGCCACTCCTTGCTTTCCACTTCCCTGCCAGACTGTGCCTGCACACCTGTGTTTCTAGGATGCTCATTTTAATTCTCACTGGCTGGCTGGGACCAGCCTCCAAAATCCTGGACGTATGGTCACCCTGCTATTAAAGTATACTGTTTAATACAAGCTTCCTTTGTTTTTGGCAGTCTCTCAGGTGTGTGTCTAGCCATAATACCTACCTTTTTGTCTTCTCATTTAAGGATTTTTCCATTGTCCGAACCCCTGCAGAGAGACTGGAGAAAATTGGTTTTGTGTAGGATGCAACCAAGGTCCTTGTATTTGAATGGGAGCAATTCTCTCTGGTCTGGGAGATATGTGGTAGAGCTTCAATAACAGAAGCAGCAGCAGCAGCAGCAGCAGCAACAACAACAACAACAACACAGTGTACAGTTGCTTAAAAGAAAGAGCTGTGTGCTGACTACCCCTGAGAGAATGGACATACAAACAAGTGAACGTAAAGCAAATGGGGTTGGAGCTTCCCAGTGTTTTCACTGCTCTTTGCTAAGTGCCCCGGCGCACGTACTTCTCCGATAGTAAACAAGAACGAATCTTTGTTCTCCTTCTCCTCTGCTCTCTGTTAACTTTCTTTTACTGAGGGGTAAGGGTTTACTTACATAGGCAGTCATACGGAGCAACTAATTTGCTGTAGAGGTAGAGAAGCTCCACCTTCTTTTACCTCAGTCTTTTATGCCACTTAAATGCTTTTGACAATTTACCCCAAGTTATTACATTTGCATATGCGTTTGTGCTCCTTAAATACTATGCCACCAAATTAAGACTGACTTATGATAGGGAAATAATGTTCATTAGGTAATTGCATATTGCTGAACCATAAAATTTAATGTATAAAATGCATTTCTGCACTATTCAAATTCTTGTTTCCAGGGTCAAGATGTTACATTTCTTTTATCATGGGTCAATCTACATTTGAAGACTTTCTCAATCTTTTCTTTTAGGTTTTGCAGTGGAGAGCACAACAAGAGGAGGCTGCCAGATTGGAAGTTGCTATAGCTGCCAGAAGAAAAGAAAAGGAAGATGAAAAAGAAAGGCTACAGAAACAAAAGGAAATGATTTGGAGAGCAGAGGAGAAAGAAAAAGTATGTGAAATTTGGTATTTCAATGAGTTACTATGTCTAATTGCCTCTAAAATCTCTAACTCATCTCAATTCTTTACACTTTTTGTAAACAGTCTTTGGTATTTGTGTGGAGATATAGTGGTTAATGGAGCTTTGCCAATGCCCATTTTGGCATTAAAACTGTGCGCACTTCCACAGTGATTCTGCTAATTTCTCATTTTTCTAAAAAAAGGCACAGATACAGGCATATAGCCTGTGACTGTCACAGTCTTGTAGAGGAAATCAATGCAGAGAAACTACTGAATTTCTAGCTCTTTTACAGATTTGTATTATTGAGCAATATGGCAAAGACCTACTGAAGCTTCCAGTGCTGCAGTAAGGTATGCTGCAATGCAGCAAATAAGTCTCACAAAGTATTGTCTGCAATATAGCACACTGCACTTAGAACAGCACAGGAAACTTTCCAATTGACTTCTCTTAACAGAGGGCCTGATGCACATATTAATATTAACACTTTCAAGACAGCAGAGAGTTATAGTGTCTTATTCTAAGTTTTCATTTGGTGCACAGGAAATTACTTTGTTTTAAATCTGAACAATACCTAGTGGAAAATCTTCAATCACTTTAGTATTTATTTTTTTTAAAAAAGCTATGTATCAAACTGTTCACGAAGGACAGGCAGGGAAGAAGAGGAGGAGGAGTTCCACTTTATATAAAAGAGCCATATGATTGCTCAGAGTTTCAGTATGAAACTGGAGATAGGCCTGTTGAAAGTCTCTGGTTAAGGTTAGAGGGGAAAGCAATAAGGGTGATGTTGTGGTGGGGGTCTGCTATAGACCACCAGACCAGGAGGAAGTGGTGGATGAGGCTTTCTTCAAACACCTAGCAGAAGTTTCCCAATCAAAAGCCCTGGTTCTTATGGGAGACTTCAATCACCCTGACATGTGCTTGGGAGGGCAATACAGCAGTGCACAGGAAATCCAGGAAGTTTTTGGAAAGTATTGGGGAAACTTCCTGATGCAAGTGCTGAAGAGGCAAACTAGGGGCCATGCTTTTATTGACCTTGTGCTCACAAACAGGGAAAAATTGGTGGGGAATGTAGTAGTGGATGGCAGCTTGGGCAGCAGTGACCATGAGATGACTGAGTTCAGGATCCTGAGGAAAGGAAGGATGGAGAGCAGCAAAGTAAAGACCCTGGGCTTCAGAAAAGCAGACTTAGACTTGCTCAGGAAATTCATAGGCAGGATCCCTTGGGAAGCCAGTGTGAGGGAGAGAAGAATCTAGGAGATTTGGCTATACTTGAAAGAAGCCTTACTGAGAGTGCAGGAACAAACTATCCTGATGCATAGGAAGGCAAGCAAATATGGCAGAAGACTAACTTGGCTTAGCAGGGAACTCTTCAGTAAACTAAGTCAAAAAAAGGAAGCTTATAAGAAGTGGAAAGTTGAACAAATAAATAGGGAGGAGTATAAAAGCATTGCTCAAGCATGCAGGCATTAAGTCAGGAAGGCCAAAGCACAATAGGAATTGCAGTTAGGAAGGGATGTGAAGGGTAACAAGAAGGATTTCTACAAGCATGTTGATAGCAAGAGGAAGATTAGGGAAAATGTGGGTCCCTTACTGAATGGGGGAGGCAGCCTTGTGACAGAGGATGCAGAAAATGCTGAAGTGCTCAATGCCTTTTTTGCCTCAGTCTTCACAGGCAAGGTCAGCTCCCAGGCTACTGTACCAGGCAGCACAGTTTGGGGAGGAGGTGAGCAGCCAACAGTGGCTAAAGAACAGGTTAGGCACTGTTTAGAGAAGTTGGACATATACAAGTCCAGGGGGCTGGATTGGATGCACCTAGGGATGCTGAGGGAGTTGACTGATGAGACTGAAGAGCCACTGGCCATCATCTTTGAAAACTCATGGTGATCAGGAGAGGTCCTGGATGACTGGAAAAGGGCAAACAGTGCCCATATTTAAGAAGGGGAAAAAGGAAGATCCAGGGAACTACAGACCCGTCAGCCTTACCTCAGTCAATGGAAAAATCATGAAGCACATCCTCAAGGAATCCATTTGTAAACACTTGGAGGAGAAGAAGGTGATTAGGAACAGTTAGCATGGATTCACCAGGGGCAAGTCATGCCTGACCAACCTGATTAGCTTCTATGATGAGGTGACTGGCTCTGTGGATGTGGAGAGACCAGTGGATGTGACACACCTTGATTTTAGCAAGGCTTTTGATATGGTCTCCCACAACATTTTCACAGGTAAGTTAAGGAGGTATGGGCTACATGAATGGACTCTAAGGTAGATAGAAAACTGGCTGGAGCATCAGGCTCAGAGAGTAGTAATTAATGACTTGAGGTCTAATTGGCAGCCAGTGTCAAGTAGGATGCTCCAGGGGTCAGTCCTGGGGCCGTTTTTGTTCAACGTCTTCATTAAGGACCTGGAAGATGGCACAGAGGATACTCTCAGCAAGTTTAGAGATGACACCAAGCTGGGGGGAGTAGTAGATACACTGAAGGGTAGGGCTAGGATTCAGAGTGACTGACACAAATTGGAGGATTGGGCCAAAAGTTATCTCCTGAAGTTCAACAAGGACAAGTGCAAAATCCTGCACTTAGGTCAGAACAATCCCATGCACTGGTACAGGCTGGGCACTGACTGGTTGGTCAGTAGGCCTGCAGAAAAGGACCTGGGGATCACAGTGGACAATAAGCTGAATATGAGCCAACAGTGTACCTTTGTTGCCAAGAAGGCTAATGGCATATTGGGCAGCATTGGTAGGTGTGCTGCTAGCAGTTCAAGAAAAGTGATTCTTCCCCTCTATTCACCACTGGTGAGGCCACATCTGGAGTACTGTGTTCAGCTTTGGGCACCCCCACTACAGAAAGGATGTGGACAAATTGGAAAGAGTCCAGTGGAGGGCAACAAAAATGGTGAAGGGGCTGGGGGGCATGACTTATAAGGAAAGACTGAGTGAACTTGGCTTATTTTGTCTGGAGAAGTGGAGACAGAGGGGATTTAATAGTAGCCTTCAACTACATGAAATGGGGCTTGAAAGAGGATGGAACTAGACTGCTCTTTGTGGTGGCAGATGAGTAACAAGGAGTAATGGTCTAAAGGTGCAGCAAGGGAAGTTTAGGTTATATATTAAGAAAAAAATGTCTCATTAGGAGGGTATTAAAACAGTGGAACAGGTTACCCAGGGAGGTGGTGGAATTTCCATCCTTGGAAATGTTTAAGACCCGGCTAGACAAAGCTTTGGCTGGGATGATCTAGCTGGGAGTGTTCCTGCCTTCAGTAGGGGGTTGGATTAGACGACCTCCTGAGGTCCCTTCCAACCCTAATTTTCTATGATTCTGTATGCTAGCTGTAGTTCTGTTATCTAGATTTTATTTAATATACAGAAATGTGAGCTTTTCAATACTCATTTTCCTTAGTTCTTACTTTTAAGTCTTAATACTTTGAATGTAATATTGGAACTGCTTTCTGTGGAATTTTTATATTAAAAATTCTTTATTATTATTATTTCAATAATGATAAACAGCAGAAGTAGCAAATCTTGTGGGGTGGTCCTACAAACATATCAACACATGAGTAACTTAAGTTGTCCTATTTGCTTCTTTGCAATTGCTTATTGTTAAAGTTACTAACATGCTGAGTATGTCCTTTTGTGTATATCTGTTCAAAATAATAAGTTAAAAATAAATAAATAAACCAGGCAGAACTATTTTAAAATGCAATGGTTTTATGATATATGTTCTTCACAAGAAGGACTTAAATTATCAGATGATCAACTAGTGGAAGAAGGACGTATAAAGAAAACAGAGTACCTATCATCCATGTGTCTGCTTTGGAATTAAAATTTCTTCCCTTTATTTAGTTGCCATATTCCTTCATAACATACCTTAATGAGAGACAACACAAGATCACAAATAGGGGAGGGGTGCAGGAAAACCCTTTACTGCTTGTTAGAAGCTGAGAGATTTTCATCTCTTTAAAGCCATCTGCATGAAATTACTGATATCACAGTAACATTCTTAAAAACGATAATAAAAATATAAACCATAAAAGAAACTGTTAGCATAATATGCCTTATCTGAATATTTTGCCACATCTAATGAGATAGGGTTCCATTACCTTAGTTACAGAGAAAAGAAAAGAAAAGAAAATCCTACACTTCTGGAAATTTCTCTAATCAGTTTGGGTTTAACTCTGACCCAACTTTCCCTGCTGTGTTCAAAGACATTTCTTTTCCCTCACCTGTGTAGCAGGTTCCAGGTGCTAGTGCTCATAATCAGGTGGCTATATAAGAATTCTGCATAGCAAAATGATTAAGTGGCATATAGCTAGCTTGACAATGGGGCAAAATGTTTTTTTCTCCTTCTATCTTGTTTTTGTCTGTTCTCATAACCTGTAACTTAGAGTTTTATTATGAAGGCTTATGGCTTCCAAAGATGGACATGAGGAAATCTTCTTTGGAAGTATAATAAAGTATACACTTTCAGTTGACTAGCTGTAGTCAATACATGTTTTGCCTTTATCTTCAGTGGGGCAGAATCACAGGAACACACTCTGTGCAGGCATATTCTAGACATCTGCTGTACATTTTAAGCATAAACATACAGAAAAATGCACAAGAGAAACTTTTCAAATTCTGTTTATTCTGAGCTCTGGCATTCTTACAGTTTGACTCAGGCAAATGTTTCTCATATTTCTTCTGCGTTGCTGGCCTATTATTGCTTTTTCTTGGCTATTATTAGTCTTTTCACAGTATTAAAGGGATAAATGCATATAACCACAGGTCATTTATAAAAAAAACCTAACAAAAAACTGTTTGATTTTCAATCCCTTGATATTTGAATACATCTTCACCCTGCTGAGTAAAGGTAAAGACATTGGGGGCCAGTACCGATAGCTGATATTTAAGGAGGCATATTCGCCAATACCAATCCAATATCTGACACAGCTGCCTCCAGTTGGTAAGTCCAGTGTCATGGAAAGGGACAGGGGAGGGAAGGGGTGTGGCGGGG